ATCAAAGTAGGTACAATAATTTGATAAAACAGACGAGGGTCTAAGTAACCCTATGCGACCAAGGCATCAATAATTTGTGTCGGAGGAGCCTTTGAGCATTTTGTTATCGGATAGCGATTAGCAGGGCCATTGTGTATCTCGGGTTACTTTTTATACCTGACGTTTGGCCTTCTTGGAAATGACTCGTAACAGTTGTGACTATTACGTATTACCGGGAACGAATGCCTTGAAGTTGCAAATACATATAAAATTCCATGTCATGTTATTATATTGCATATATGATTTTTATTAAGGAAAGTATGAATAGGGAATTTATTTTATTTATATGTTTATTACAACAGAATGAATTGTTATGTATATGTATTTTATTTAGAGACATGCTTATAAAACACGCTTATTCAAACAAATTCTTTCATATTGTTAATATTGTATTTAATAAAATGTTTATTGCTTTTTTTAAATATACTTGTAATAATTTTATTTTATTGAAGAAAATATTATTAATCCAGTATTGTAGTTTACACTATATGTAGCCAATTTTTTTTTATGTAAGTAATCATTATTAACTATTCGATACAGCTATTTAAATTGGAAAAATGAATAATGGAATCTCATAAATCATCATCATCATTTCAGCCATTATCCATCCACTGTTGGATATAGGTCTCCCCCATAGACTGCCATAAAGAACGGTCCTGAGCTACTTGCATCCATTGACTCCCTGCAATGCATTTGAGGTTGTCACTCCATCTAGTGGGGAGACGTCGTACACCGCGGTTCTCCGTACGGGGTCGTCACTCAAGAATTATTCTTATCGATTGTCGGTTCTTCGAACTATGTGACCAACCCATTGGCACTTCAGCTTGCCTATCCTTCGGGCTATTTCGTTTACTTGGGTTCTTTATGGATATCCTTGGCTCTGATTCTATTGCGCAAAGAGACTTCGAGTATAGTCTTCAACATAGTCCGCAAAGAGACTCCGAGGATAGCCTTCTCCGTAGCTCGCTGAGTAATTTGAAGCTTTTGCATACGGGCAATCGTGTAGGACCATGTGTCGGTTCCATAAGTCATCACTCAATCTCATAATTAATGCCATTTAATTATTTTATTGCGTAATTTAAATTCCACAGGAACTCGTCCTCAAGTATTCGAGTTTTGGGCTGTTCAGAAAATCCTTTTTACTAACTATTGCCCACAGCGTTTCGTTAATTCTCTAAAGAAATAGATTTTATTTATGCAAATTTCACTATTCAGTAGTGAAGTTCGTATAAACAAAACGTATTTCTTGCACCTTCCTAGAGAATAATATTAAGATGTTTTGTATTTAATTATTTGCACCTAGAAGTGTGTACTTATATATATATAATGTTTTTAGTGAATATGCCCATACAAACGTGCTAACCCTTTAAAATAAAAATTAAATAAAAATGGCGATCCCTTTATCGTCTGAGAGGTGAAATTTCCAAAAACTTTGAAACACATGATTATAAGTATTTCAAAGTTTTTGGAAATTCAATCGAGTTTTTAAAATCAAATTTTTCAATCAAAAAACACAAATATGTAGTAAATCTCAACTAATCATATATTATTAATCATAATAATAGTAAATCAGATCAGACCAGTTTTTTTTCTATTTTATACTAATGTGTCTATTCCATTTCTCCTGTTTAAAGTTGAATTTTTAAAAACGACGTTATACATATTTATTTATTTTTAACTAGAAGCTTGTGTATGTAACTTTTTGCATCTAACTTTGAAAATGATGGGTTCCCATACGACCGTTCATTCTTTATTATACTCTTTCAGGGGTGGAATTTCCAAAAAATTTTTTCTTAGTGGATATTTACATCATAAAATACGTAAATGGCCGAAATTTTTAATGGTTTATGGTTTATGATTCTAAACTGATTTTGACAACATTTCCACGAGACTAATCTGTAAGTATATTATTTCAGATAAAAAAAAAATTTTCTAAATCGGTTTACAACTGATGAAGTTATGAGGTAATAAACATAAAGAAATACAAATAAATTGAGAATCTTCTTCTTTTTGATGTCGGTTAAGAAACATATAACGAACGTCAAGACAGCAAATAATAAAAATACTTATGCAATGACTCGAGAGTTAATTGTGCGACCGAACCATAAAGTAACGGTAACGAATTCTTTAAAATTACACCCTTGTATATCGGTAAACTACTCGTACCTGGTGACAGGGTTACACGTTTACTCCGAAACTTTGGATTAGCTTATTCATTCGTTATTCCGTGTTTATTAATACAAAATACGGTTAAAACTGACTTATTACTTAATTTAATTAAGATTAATTTGGCTTTATATATTTTTTAATAACAGACCAATACTACAATTTACTAAAGTATGAAGTTGTACTATAAAACTGATAATATACTCAGCCTGTAAGTCAGCCAGGACAAGTCTTTATATATACAATTATATATGTGATATTTCGATATCAATAGTTTGATGTATTAATTCTAAATCACATTGATTACATTGATTATCTAAAGGCTTCGTCTTAATTATGTACTTACACACTTATAGCTACTCGTATATGGAAATCGAATTACTTTACAATTAGGTTTCCAATTGTATGTATATAAAATTAACATGTATTTTGATGTATCAGATCATTATTGATGTAGGCAACAGTTACCAAAAGCTTTAACTCAATTAATTGCTACATTCCTGTTTGTATATGACAATTAAGCTATCCGCTAATAACCTATAGATAACTCCGTGTCATTGGATTGCCACTTACGAGAATTAAGGTGTGGTGCCTCAAACTATTACGTTGTTATAATGCATCGTAAATATTGGGTTGTCGACATATACATACATGGGAAAGTTTTGCGACACTAAAAAAATTTTCTATAGGTAAATATATTTTTATTATATCTTTTCAAAGTACTCTTCACCAGCCTCTATACAAAGTTTCATGCGTCTGAACCAGTTTTTGAAATACTTTTTCCAGTCCGCCGTAGACACCTGCTTAACAGACTTCTCGAACGCTGAAAGCGCATCATCCGGTGACGAAAATTTTATTCTTTTGAGCAAATTTTTTATTTTTAGGAATAAGAAGAAGTTACACGGTACTAGGTCAGGGCTGTAAGGAGAGTGACCCATGAGTTTGACCGGTGTGCTGTCTAGGAAGTACCTCGTTTTGATTGTGGTGTGGGCGGGCTCTTTATCGTGGTGGAGCAGTAGCCCGCGGAGCCCTGTGTTTGGTCGCTTGTTGCTTACAAAATTTCTGCCAATCACTTGGTAGTATACCATTCGGTGTTAATGCTTCTTTGGTTTCGTAAAGGAATTGATACTAAGTAGCCAGTCAAATTGATAAAACTCGCGAACAAAATCTTCCCCCCGCTTTTAGGTCGCTTTACTTTGATAGGCGTTGATTCGTTTTTAAACACCCAAACCGTCGACTGGCGCTTTGTTTCTGGATCGTATTGATAAATCCAAGATTTATATCTAGATATATATATATATATATATATATATATATATATATATATATATATATATATATATATATCCGAATATATTATATTCATATATGCGAAGTTAAAACTTAATATTAACTAAACTGCAAGTATATATTATTTTTTAAATAAAAGTTTCAAAATCCATTCTTTTATTTTGTTTTGCATAATGATTGAATTCGAAAAGAAGTTGTGGCCGAAATGCAGGTATGTAATTGAGAGATGAGCTGGACCGGTTCTTTAAAAAAATCGGTACACATTGGCCAATGACCATGAGAAACAGTTGAGAGAAGTCTTTCCTTAACACTATAGGATATCACAGACTACGAAAAATGATGATGACGATGATGTCATCATTAATTCATCATTAATGATAATGTACATTACAATGCCTGTATTTTAGTTCGCACGGAAATTTACATTCAATAATTGACTTCAAGTTAACTCAGTTTATGACATATCTACAGGCTGGTTGATAACCTAATTTAACCTCTCCTTTAACGAATATATAGAATTAATGATAGAGATGTTTATAAATATGTGAAATAATGTTGATTTGTGACAATACGAATATTACTTATTGTAATTAGGCAAATGCTATGGTAGTTGCTCTTTTTAGCCATGTGGACAGAAATACTATAATGTGATTGCTCGACGATTATGACTGTGCCATGTGTGTTTATTATATTACTGCCTGTAATGAAAAAAGGTGACTATTCAAAAATGCTTAAATCAAGTTTACTTGAATAAAAATATTTCTTTTTTTCTTTCTTCATAATGACACCGTCATATACGTACATTCAATAAACTCTATGTTTACTTTTAATTCCCCGCATGCAACGATAATTGTGTCGTCTATTAACTACGTGGATAGTACAACATTATATATCCGTTTACCTATTACGTTTTATCTTTTTATTTTATTGAATTCTATTTTTGGATACATATAATATTTTAATGCAAGCGAATGAGTAGAATTAATTATGGTGTAGGAAAATTAGAAGTTACCGACCTACATAATTTTTTGTGTAGTTCTAGAAAATGTGAAATAATTTAAAATTGATTTTTAAATTGAATATATTGGTGACTAAATACCTGATTTACTTTTACTGAAAAGAAAAACTTATGAGCAATTAATAATTCAGAGAGAATATTTAAATAGAACGAATTAAATATTGAATGTATTGAAACATGAATCAGGTATAATATAGTAAAAAGTACATTATAGCTACGAACTATAACAATAATAAAATATATTGTAGGCAGATAGAGGTAGAGGTTATTGCTGGAAAAAGTTATTACTGACTAAAGTGTTGACGAGTGTAACGTGGGCTCATAGTCATTAAAGTAATATAGGAAAAACATCGTTATTAATTCCGTTTTTGATATCTATTTAAATATTAAATGTCGAATTAACACAACTGTTAAGACTACTGAAATATATTAAACGCATGTTATGAAAAGTAACTAAATTTATTCTTATAGGTTATAAAATACTTACCACAGAGCGCTGTTCCATATTCCTTCCAATGTGAACGAGTTTTCGCCGTCATTGCAAATTAATATATTATAAAATTCTCAAATTTATTCAATTATACAGGGCGTTTTGGAATGAGATTATATTGAGCACTGATTTGTTAATTGGGAAATACTAATTTAAATAATTCATTGTAACAGTATAAATAATAACGATATATACTAAAACTAACTAAATATCACAATATAATATATTCGATCTAATAAAATAGGATTTGTAAACGAAACGTTATAACCGATTAGGCTTCATTTTGGAAGGGTTATGTGTTGTTGGTTTGCTGGTACATAATGCAGAGAAACGCGTAAGTATGTAACGCGACGGTGACTGAAGAGCAACTGAACGGATCGGGATTGAAAACGAGGCGAACGAACTAATCGCGACGCACCAAGCAGGACGGAATGAGGCAAAACGGCGCGGGCGCACGCTTTTGCCTGTTGTTTATCGCGGCAGTAGTTCTTGTTAAGATAAGAAGAAGGTCGATAAAGCTAGAGCACACGGATGACGCCGCGTGTAGACTGTAGTCGCTACGGTGTCGCCGCGCCACCGTCGCGCGGCCCCTCAACATATCAACGGCCATCAAAGTATTTCATGGTAGGAACGCGCCTACCAATATTAGTAGCGACGATTATTTTTAGCCATTATCTAAAAATAACACTGACAATACCATCATTAGGTTTGTATACAATACGCGACGTTTCTAATTAACGTAATTACACGGATGGCCGTAAAGAACACTTGCCAATATTCATAAGTTGTAATTTGGGTAGATATCTAATAAAAGGAGAAATTGAATTGACTGACAGATAAACGCGTATCTAAATCTACTGGGTCTGGAGACATGAAATTGGACACAGGGGTTGGTTGTATAACGTAAGCGATTACATAGAATGGTTTTCTCGTCATTCCACAGTGATTGAGAAAGAACGGTTTCCGGGAGGTTGAAACCGTAGGATCCTATAAAATCGGCAATCACTATTTCAGTAAATAAGATTAGGATTACAAATTTCTTTTTTTTTTTCGTTGTGCGTTTGTCATCCAATTTTAATCATACAAAACCTTGTAATTTTTTTATACATTTAATAATTTATGGGTAGCTTAATGCTATCACGCACTCTCTCAATTTGGGGATATGCTATATATAGGACTGTGTGACTTCATTATTTAGATTTAGTTTTAGATTTTTCTAGATTACAAAAGTGTGTTTAATATTACTCCAAATGACTGGCACATATAAGTAACTGGGACAGTATCATTATGTATTCGTTTTTTCTTATTTCCGTAGGAATTATCAAAACATTTTCTGCTACTACATACTTAGTTTTCATGAAATGTTTTTTTTGAAAACGATAAATAGAAAAAAAGGCATAGCCTGTAAGAGTTTTTCCTAATAAGTATATAACTTAGTCATCATGTGCTAACTCAACATTAGAAACCGTTAAAAAAAAAACGAAAAATCGTAATCTAATAATTTAAGTAGTATTTGAATTTTCAATGGAAACTAGAGAAACCAATTCACGACTAATAAATATAATTAATGTCGTTTTAAGGTTATTAACTTTTTTTTTAAACTTTAATGCACAATAAAATTCTATGTACATTTGCTAGACATAATACCGCATGGTGTTCTCTATCAATCAACAATTGGGTAATCCGAGAAATACGTAGGCGGTGCATTACTGAATAGAGGAAAAATAAAGCAATATATATAAGTAAAGCATATAATATAAACATATAATTAGACTAATGTAAACATACACCTAATATATTAAATATATTATCATTTCTTTAAATAATCATTGTGTGTAATTAAGTATAATAATTTAACCTAACCTACGTTTTCAATATACTGGAGAGAAGTACTTCCTAGACTATAAAATGGGTTTCTCATTGGACTTGTCTCTCCAAGGTATGTATTTTGGCTTGATTCCATTGATTTTGTTATATACCTGAACAACAATGTTTCGCAAAATATATTGCGGTAGAAATATTTTTAAATGTTCTTTATTAGAAATATGCGTTATAAAATGTCAAAATATAAAACTATTGAAATCAATCTTTTAGGTGATTGCATCATATTTGTTTGGTTCTTAGTTAAGTTCATACTTTGAAATCATGTAGTTACCTAATTAGATGAGACTAAGTACAAATAAAGAAAGAGTAGACAATAGAGTCATGAAATAAACGATTAAATGGTCAATATACGAAGACGATTCTATAAGCAGTCCAAAAGAATGCAATAAATTAGATTAAATGAAATTAATACAGATATACGTTTGAAAGGTTATCCATATTTATGCGGATGTAGATAATAAAGATGCAGATACTGTCAGTGACCTAGAGTGATCAATCAATCCATATTAGTTAAATGAGAATTTCCGGAATTGGCATGTAGTATGGAAATAATTATAAACGTAAATGGAGCAAAATTTATGTAAGAATGAGAGGCTATTGGTACACACATCTCTTTGCTTATGTTGAGGTTGTATATAGATGGATAGAGATAAATTGTGGTAATTTCTGGTAATTTTTATAATATCAATTTGGGGTTATAATTGAACCTATTATGAAAAATATACTAAATTGCTTTGAAAAGTGTACCTTGTATTTGCTGGATTGTTCGTCTCTGTTTTGATGTATAAACATATGTGTAGTACTGGCGCGCTGTCACTGATTTGAAATTTAGTGCGAATGAAAATTTTCGGTAGGTATCCAAACAATAAATTAATCATAATTATCACTATTTGGCAGTAGTTGATTGGCCGAATTGGTGTAAAAATTAGCTCTTGTTAATTTTTCGTCATACCATGGAAATATTTCTAAAAATATAAATGATTAAACACACAGAAAGTTTGTTTGTTGAAAAATATTAAATACGATTAATAAAAACATATAGTATAACAGATAATTTAAGAATGGATTTACTCTACTTTAGAGTATACAAAATATTAATACGAGATTAACATGAAAGTAAACTTTTGCTGTTAAAAAAGAAAAAAAATATAATTTAAGATCTCGATACGTAAAAAAAACAGTAAGTACAATTGTGATCAAGTTAGGTAGTAATATGGGATACATACGGGAGTTTTATTCTCATTGTTAACAGAGGTTAACATAAAAAAAAATTACAAATAAATAAATATTTTATATCTTTTGTGTAGCAGAGTTAGTTTCATTTAATAACGTTAATAACTGACAGGAATAGTTAAGCTGACAATCGATTAAGCTCATTCTATTGTAGCAGGCACGCACTACTGTAAATTACCGGATCATACTTCATCAGCTTGTAATTACTGGCAACATCGTCTCATGGCCATGAACATTTTACACGACGCATTGATTAACTAGAAGTTAAACAATATTCTAAAAAGATATTTAATGAACCAAAAGGCTCGTTTAAGGGTTAAAGGCTTTTCTAATTCTTAATAATAAAAATCTCTTTTTCCGTGGTATTATAAGATTGTTCAGATAGCCTATTGTTATATCAACGATGTCTGCCTATCTTCAACGGGCATCTAGTGAAAGGGATTCCAAATTCAGACATAATATATTTTTATATCTATTGTGTGATTCAAGAGGCCGGATAATAGAAAAAAAAAAGGGTTTATTTAAGGGGGTACCCCAAATATGCTAACAGGAAACGCAAGACGTATCATGCTAGTATATTTATTCTAAGTTTATGGAAGAAATGTATATACATGACGAAAGACCTGTCAGATGCCAAACAATTTGATAGATTTGGATAGACCATTCAACAAATAGTTCGATAGCACATTGTAAACAAAAGTTACGTAATGTGCTGTAACGTAGTTTATGTACTAAATGGATTGACAGCGTTTTCCATTACCAAAACTTTCACGACAGTTTAAATTGATAACAATTTAGATAAGGCGATCGCTGGTGGTGATTTATAGTAAAACATGAAAAGGTCCATAACCCGAAGGTTGTACTGGTCGTTTATTTTTTGCAATTCATCGTTTTACTAAAACGACGCCTTTGGTAAGGTTGATGGATGATGATAAAGATTAGGTAATCAATTAAAGTAGATATTAATAGCTATCACATGTCTTTGGCATGATAACTAATGAACGAATCCAATTTGAGTTTTGTAAATATAACTCTGACTCGTGTTTGAAAATATAGCCCGTGCTTGACTGTTTACGCTAAGATGGCTAAGCTTTGACGGGACATTTCTTTTTTAATCATATTTTTTACAAGATAAACCTTATTCTTCAGTACGAAGAAAACTTAAAAAATCAGTACTTATATAAAAAGAGAATATAAGCGATTCTTAATCTATCAGTCGGTATGAGCTAATATAAGATTAAAAAATTTTGTTTTATAAAAGTTGTCAAAATCGGTTCAGAATTATCAATGATATCATGTACAAAAAAAAAGTAAGTACCTATTGTTTAATGGAGAATAAACTGAACCTATTTTATCACTAAGAAATACAAGGACATATAAGACAATATGATAAAGCTTTGTAACTAAAACACGACTGCGTTGATTTGATATTTGGCAAAACGTTGTAGCCTAATAATATGAGTATTTTTAGATTAGCTTTCTTTGTGGGCTACATAATGTCCCAGTGAAATAAATATAACGACCAAAAAACAAAAAAACAATAATATTTAGGTTTTTGTCACATGAACTTGATTTTAAATGTTTACGGCGCGGTGGGGCAGGAAAAGCAAGTTGCGTAGGGGCAAATTTGTTAATTTTCCTTTTAGTTTTTTTTTTTATTAATCGCATCTGTAATACGAGCATCAAAAAAATTTTTGTTAAATAGAAAATGGTGTATTTGAGAAGAGATTTTATTCAAAGTACATTTAATTGAAAACAAATAATATATATATATAATGAATAGTTTTTATTTATTTATTTTATTGAGACTGTACTCGTATTATCGTATATGAATTCATATTTATTTAGATAGAAGCCTCAAAGTAAGATTATAATTTCCATTTATTAGAATAAATTCGCTGGGTTTCGTGTTTGTTACGTTTTTAAAGGGTTTACGTAGATTACATTTGCGTCATGGAGGCGCGGCCATGTGTCTACTAATAAAAAGCAAACAATATTGTATTCGTCAAGACGTCAAAACATTTGTTTTGATATTAAAGGCACATTTAGATCTATCATTTAGATACAAAGCTACGCATTTAGGCTGTCCTTTAGGTATTTCTGAAAATGAATGATCTGTTAATTGTTGGTCATAAATAACTATTAGAACTATATAAACGTTCGTGGTATAAATTATGTTTGTTATGGTCCATTCGCGACCTAAATTGTCCAATCGGCTATTTTTGGATATAACAGCATTGTATAACAGTGTTATATCTAGATACTAAAGAATGAATTGATTGCTGGGATACAGATTAAAATGGGCTAATGATCAAAAG